AATGGGTGAATAAACCCGTCTATACTTTTTTGTTTAGAAGATTCTGAATATTTTATGTGAGCAGAATACAGTGGGGGAAATAAGTATTTGAGCCCTTGCTGATTTTGCAGGTTTGCCCACTTACAAAGAATGCTTATTTTTCCTCATCAGATTGTTATCAGTTTTTATGAGTTCATATGATGTGATTTTCTGGAATTTTCTTTGGGATTCTGTCTTTCACTGTTAGAATGTACATATGATTAAAGTTATAGATCGTTGCATTCTTTGTAAGTGGGCAAACCTGCAAAATCAGCAAGGGGTCAAATACTTATTTCCCCCACTGTATGCTCTTTTTATTTTCAGACAGCTGAAATCTCTAAAAAGCCTCAGAGACGGATTTTATTCCTCAATTTTTAATCGCTCTTCTCTTTAGTTTGATTTCAACCAAAGAGATAAAAACAAGCTCTTAGATAAAAACATCATTTTCCATTTCCAAAACTTTTTACCCGTCTAGATGCTGATCTAAAATGAACCTATAGAAACAAACAAACAAAAAACAAGCTCATTTGAAAGTTTATCTTAGCTGAAATGGTTAACTTTAAACTTTTTAAACTCACTATAAGACATAGACCCTCGCAGAAGTGAGAAGATGTCTCAGACCTAATTTATTTGCTTTTTCCCCACAAGTGTTCAAACCTCAGTGTTGTACAGCTCAAATGTGTCTTCATATTTTGAATATTGTGACCTATTGTGATTACAGTAATCATGTAATAATTCCTTATGACTAGATTTTGTGTATAATTTTGCATATTGAAGTGGACATGTTAAGTACAATTTGAAAGAAGAAATATAAAATATGATAAAAAATACATGTTTGTGTTTATTTGATTCCTATTCAAGACACTTAAGATAAGATAAGAATAAAATAAGAATAACTATAGTGTTACTATAGGCGGATACAGATTTGTTTGACATTTTTGGCTGGTGGCCTCGAGATTTTTTCAATGAAAAAATGTACCTTGGCTCAAAAAAGGTTGAAAAACACTGCTCTAGTGAGTTGAAAAAGTTTAAAGCTAACCATTTCTGCTAAGAAAAAGTTTAAAATGAGCTTCTTTTGTGTTTGTTTGTTTTTTTAGATCAGCATCCAGATGGGTAAAAAGTTAGGGAAATGAAAAAATGTACCTTGGCTCAAAAAAGGTTGAAAAACACTGATCTAGACCCTCACTGAGAAGTGAGAAGATGTCTGTAAATGTGAGTCTGTGTGCTGAGAGGTGGAGGAGGTTTGGTCTGTTGGATCATTCCCCACAGGGAGGAGAAAGAGAGGGAGGAGGGAGGGATGGAGGGATGGAGGGATGGAGGGATGGACAGATGGAGAGAAAGAGCCTGAGGAGAGACCACAGGGAGGAAGAGGACCGGAGGAAGAATCCAAACTTAAACTCGAGCCATGGCGGATTTTTCGGGCACCTGGAAGATGAAGAGCAGCGAGAACTTCGACGAGTTGCTGAAAGCTTTGGGTGAGTTCCGACTTTTTTATGTGCCACCAAGATGCTTTTTAAGCCACAAAATGTTCTGTTTATTGCACATAAAAGCAGGATGCAGGTCAGGTCTGAGTTTTCTGCACTAGTCCTGAGCAGGTGTTCAGATTTCAGACCCAAATCCAGGCGTCTTTTGAGTTCCCTGAAAAGTTAAAGACTCACGTTACCATTTTATATGCTTTAACCCTTTAAAGCCTGATCCAAGAAAAAAAGGAAGATTTTTTGGATTTTTTTTAGTCTGAAGTCTTTCTTTGGCCGCTCAACAACATATGGAGGAAAAAAACTGAAATTATTTTGATCAAATTAGCGTGCAATAAGTCAAAAATATATTTTCATATGGTCTTCTACTGGCTGTTATCAGATATATCTGAAAATATAGTAATATAGTAATATCTAAAGAAATAGGAAGAATATTGTATTTTTTTAGTCTGAAGTCTTTCTTTGGCCCCTCAACAACATGTGAAGAAAAAAAAACTGAAATTATTTTGATCAAATTAGCGTGCAATAAGTCAAAAATATATGTTGGTGTAGTCTTCTACTGGCTGTTATCAGGTATATCTGAATGTGTACAACAGGGGTTTGAGCAAAGCTTTTACCACTGAATGATGCAAAAAGTCTCAGATCCAAAAGAAACCGGATCAGATATGACACATTTGGCATTATAGGGTTAAATATATACTTATGCTTCCATTTTCAGCTCAAAGCTGAAGGTTTAGTTACGTTTGAGTTCCATTTGAAAGGGTTTGCAGACGATAATTGAGCCTGTCGGTGAGAATAATGGAAGCAGAAGGAGGTTTTCACTCATCTGACTGTTTGTGCAGTTCCTGTCTATCGGAGGGTTTTTCCAGAATTAATCACAATCTGCCGCGGACTTAAACAAAGCAGAATCCACATTCACATTCCTGCCTCTCATCGCCTCCCTCCACGTTTCCAACATCTGCTGATAACAATCTCTTCCAGCTGCCGTCAGAGCCCCGACAAAGTTAGAAACAGCCACCTTTAAAGGGGAAATATTATGCTAAACCAAGTTTTTAATCATTTGATTATGTACATTTGGGACTTTTGAATCAATGCAGCCAGTGTTTCCTTCAAAATACAAATTCTAGATGGCGCTTAGGACAGACTATTTCTCCTTAAAGGGGACATCTTATGCAAAACCAAGTTTTTAATCATGTGATTGTGTACATTTGGGACTGTGGAGGGCCTATCAGCAGGCAAAGTGTGAAAAAAAATGACTCAGTCATGTTTTTGTGGGCCGCCTCAGTCTGAATCCAGGAGATAAATCAGGAGGTTTCAGGAGTGGGTAGTTTCTGACGTCATTAGCTCTAGCTCATTATAATATTATTATTATTATAATATTAATATTATTATATATTATCTAGCTCATTATAATATTCCAGCCTTTCACCTGCATGTTGCCCCCCCCCCTCAGCTTACTCCCCTATCTGTGGAGACGTCCTGGTAGCGTGAGCGTTAGCATGGTAGCGTTAGCATGGTAGCGTTAGCATGCTAGCGTTAAAATGGTAGCGTTAAAATGGTAGCGTTAACATGGTAGCGTTAACGTGGTAGCGTTAGCGTGGTAGCGTGAGCGTGGTAGCGTTAGCGTGGTAACGTTAGCATGGTAGCGTTAGCATGGTAGCGTTAGCATGCCGACGTGGGCACACCTCCCTGAAGAAGTGGGCGGATTGCCCGTGTCTCATTTGCATTTAAAGAGACAGGCACTCCAAAGCGAGCGCTCTGAACGGGGCTGTTTTGGGTTAGGGTTAGGGTTAGGGTTAGGGTTAGGGTTAGGCAGGGGGACTGAACTGCTATTGGGCTTCATCCTTATGGGATTCTGACCAAAGCTTGTCACAGACATTACATTAGGACACCAGGGAACTAGCTTAACTTGTTGAAATAGGGCATAATATGTCTCCTTTAAGTCGTCATTTTTTCCACCCTCAGAGAAACGGAGATGCATTACTCCCGGGTTACGACTGTGTCTGAAATAAGAGGCAACCTCAATCAATAAGCTCTCTTCTCTGGTCCGGTTCATAAGTCCACTTTGGAAACATTAACCCCCCAATTTTCAACTCCAGGCGCCAGAAAATAATCTAAGGTGACAAAACAAATGAGAATAATGAAGGTCTTAACACAAAGAACTGGAACTCCCTGTTTGAACCACATAAGATCTGAACCATCCAGCCTCTGGGAACTGGTTGGTATGGTCGTTATGGTAACCGGGGGGGGGGGTCTGTGTGGTTTTAGGGGTGAACGCCATGTTGAGGAAGGTTGCCGGGGCGGCGGCGTCCAAACCGCACGTGGAGATCAAACAGAACGGCGAGCACTTCTACATCAAGACCTCCACCACCGTGCGCACCACGGAGATCAGCTTCCTGATTGGAGAAGAGTTTAGCGAGGAGACGGTGGACGGGAGGAAGTGTAAGGTAGGAAAAACCAGCTAAAAGGAGACATGTTATACCCTATTTCAACAAGTTAAGCTAGTTCCCTGGTGTCCTAATGTAATGTCTGTGACAAGCTGTGGTCAGAATCCCATAAGGATGAAGCCCAATAGCAGTTCAGTCCCCCTGCCTAACCCTAACCCTAACCCTAACCCTAACCCTAACCCAAAACAGCCCCGTTCAGAGCGCTCGCTTTGGAGTGCCTGTCTCTTTAAATGCAAATGAGACACAGGCAATCCACCCACTTCTTCAGGGAATACCATGCTAACGCTACCATGCTAACGCTATCATGCTAACACTACCATGCTAATGCTCACACTAACGCTACCGTGCTAACGCTACCCCATTAACGCTACCATGCTAACGCTATCATGCTAACGCTACCATGTTAACGCTACCATGTTAACGCTACCATGCTAACGCTACCATGCTAACGCTACCATGCTAACGCTACCATGCTAACGCTCACGCCACCATGCTAACGCTACCCGGCTAACGCTCACGCTACCATGCTAACGCTCATGCTACCATGCTAACGCTACCATGCTAACCCTACAGTGCTAATACTACCATGCTAACGCTACCATGCTAACGCTAACATGCTAATGCTACCATGCTAATGCTACCATGCTAATGCTACCATGCTAATGCTACCATGCTAACGCTCACGCTACCAGGACGTCTCCACAGATAGGGGAGTAAGCTGAGGGGGGGGGCAACATGCAGGTGAAAGGCTGGAATATTATAATGAGCTAGAGCTAATGACGTCAGAAACTACCCACTCCTGAAACCTCCTGATTTATCTCCTGGATTCAGACTGAGGCGGCCCACAAAAACATGACCCAGTCATTTTTTTTTCACACTTTTCCTGCTGATAGGCCCTCCACAGTCCCAAATGTACATAATCAAATGATTAAAAACTTGGTTTTGCATAATATGTCCCCTTTAAGACGCACCAAACCAAAACGTCTTGCTATAGTTTTCCAGGTTTTCTCAAAGTTGCTGCTTGGATTTTCACATTTTCAAAAGGACAGCCTTTATTTAAGCTGTTTAATCTTAACCCTAATCTATCTCAGCATGGTGAGATATGAAATATAAACCGTTAAAAACCTTTGGGAGGAGGACAAAAGGCCAGAAAAAGAACTTCAACAGATGAACAATCTCTCAGTGGGATGTTTTTGGGAAAGAGGGGAAAAGAAATCCATCACTGATCTCCCACAGAAAGGGTCTCCATGGAGGGGTGGCTGTGGAGAGGCTGTTTTTAAGGAAGGGAAACGGGGAGAAAAGGCTGAGCTGTGCCAAATGACACAAGAAGAAGACTAAAACTCAGAGTCAAAAGCCCCGATTTCAACATATTGTCAGGGAGGTGGATCTTGATGGAGGACTCAGGCCCGGAGATGCAGAAAACAGGGTTTATTGTAACACAAAAACAGGTTAAAAAAACAGGGCTGTGGCAAAACTATGAGCAAAGTAACAAAGCAAGGTTAACAAAACCGTGGCAAAGTATCAAAACAAGACTGTGGCAAAAGTACAAACGAGATTAACTCATTGGCTGCCAAAGACGTCTATAGACGTCTTTTATGTTTTTCAATGCGAGTGTCTGGGGAACGATCGGCGAAAGTTTTTCCGTAAATATCGGCTTCTAGACAGAGTATGTAGTAACAAATTGAGCCTCTAGGGGGCAGTGCCACTTTTGATGGGAGATGAGCATAGACTGTAGGCAAATAAGAAAAAGCTAACGGTTCTATGAGAGAACATGTCGCCGGTGAGACGCAAGTCCAGGAAGAACGGAATAAGGTAGAAACACTTTTTTTTTCCTGATGATAGAAGAGAGTCTACTCTTTCTTTTGGTGTGTTCGGTGTTTACATAGTCATAGCACAAACTATTCTGTGGCTCTTGAAAAATCTGTCAAAATTCTCAAAAAACTGGCAGTGAGCGACTCTCTGTTCTGAAAATGGCTGGCAGTCAATGAGTTAACATGGCAGTGGTCAAAACAAGGCTATGGCAAAGTAACAAAATAAAGATGAACAAAACTGTGGCAAGGCTGTGGCAAAGTAACAAAATAAAGATGAACAAAACTGTGGCAAGGCTATGGCAAAGTAACAAAATAAAGATGAACAAAACTGTGGCAAGGCTGTGGCAAAACATGGCTATGGGAAATAATCAAAACCTTACATGGCGTGGGGAGACGAAAGACGCAAAAAGATGCAAAAAGACGCAAACGAACTGGCCCAGGACATGGGAAACGAGGACTATTTAAGCACATGAGGGGGGGGAACCCCAGGTGAACACAATAGGTAATCAAGACATGACGATGACAAATATCTGAAGCAGAGTGGGATCCTGAGAGGCCTCTGAGAGCCTGGAGAGCTTTTCCTGGAGAGTCCTTAACCCTATAATGCCAAATGTGTCATATCTGATCCGGTTTCTTTTGGATGTGAGACTTTCTGCATCATTCAGTGGTAAAAGCTTTGCTCAAACCCCTGTTGTACACATTCAGATATACCTGATAACAGCCAGTAGAAGACTACACCAACATATATTTTTGACTTATTGCACGCTAATTTGATCAAAATATATATATATTTTTTCTTCATATGTTGTTGAGGGGCCAAAGAAAGAGTTCAGACTAAAAAAAACAATATTCTTCCTTAAATTACCTGTTGTGTTCAGGTAATGGAGGCAAACTTTGAGTCCATTTTCTGAAAGGATTATGTAAAATCTGACATTGTTCATCACCGATAAAAGCTTCAATTTATAGATTCACAGAGTGATAGCTCACTGTATCCACAAAATTAGATCAAAATAATTTCTGTTTTTTTTCTTCATATGTTGTTGAGGGACCAAAGAAAGACTTCAGACTAAAAAAAAATCAATATTCTTCCTATTTTTCTTGAGTCAGGCTTTAAAGGGTTAAAGAAAGGCCGAAGCTCCTCCAGGAGGGTTCGGACTCTTTTGAAAGCTTTTAAGCCTTCGAGACTTATGAAAAACAATAGTTTTATATTGTAGTTCAAGCAAAACCAGCATGGGTGGGAATAAACAGTCTCCCCTATTTTATCTCCTCTAATCTCCAAGAATATGAACACATGGATAAATAGGGGTGAATGAAAATGAGTGCTAATGAAAAGTACAAATCATCCTATTTCACCTAATTGGTCTAAAAAGATTTTTTGATAAGGAATTAATTATGTGCAAATAATATTCCATTTCTGAGTGTGTGTGCTGTACTAGTGACTGGTGGAATAATCATGTAATAATTCCTTATGACTAGATTTTGTATATAATTTTGTACATTGAAGTGGACATGTTAAGAGCAATTTGAAAGAAGAAATATAAAATATGATAAAAATACGTTTTTGTGTTTATTTGATTCCTATTCAAGACACCTAAGATAAGATAAGAATAAGATAAGAATAACTATAGTGTTACTAAAGGCGGCTAGAGATTTGTTTGACATTTTTGGTTGGTGTTCCTCGTGATTTTTTCTATGAAAAAATGTACCTTGGCTCAAAAAAGGTTGAAAAACACTGCCATAACACACATACAAGGGGAAAAAAAACTAAAGACAGATAGAGAAGCTCTTTCTGCAAACTGACCCTCACTGGAAGCACAAACCTGGAACAAATCCTAATTCTACATTCCTCTAAAAGTTGTTGAAAGCCATAAAAATGGCCGTAATTCTGTTTTAATGCCGATATTCGACCAAAAACCGAGCGGGTAATTTACAAAAGCTCATTAAATCCTCGCTGTTCTCCAGAGTTTGGCGACATGGGAAACGGAAAACAAGATTTACTGCACACAGACTCTGCAGAGCGGGACGGGCCCCAAAACCTTCTGGAGCAGGGAGCTCAAAGGGGACGAACTCATATTGGTGAGTGGTTTTTTTCTGTTGTTTTTTTTCTGTATTGACAGATAATAAAGGGTGTTGCATGCAGCTGTAGATTTCCTGCTGCCAAATATTTGCTTTTCTTTTTCTTTTTTTTAACTTTGCTTATTTGGTTTTTAACAAGAATTGCATAGCCGTACATTTACAATGTGATACATATAAAACAAACCATACAATTATTATTATTATTTTTTTAAAACTTTGTTTATTTGGTTTTTAACAAGAATTGCACATTTACAATGTGATACATATAAAAAAAAACATAATTTTTTTTTTTTTAAACTTTGTTTATTTGGTTTTTAACAAGAATTGCATAGCCGTACATTTACAATGTGATACATATAAAACAAACCATACAATTTTTTTTTTTCAAACTTTGTTTATTTGGTTTTTAACAAGAATTGCATAGCCATACATTTACAATGTGATACATATAAAACAAACCATACAAATTTTTTTTTTTTTCAAACTTTGTTTATGGTTTTTAACAAGAATTGCATAGCCGTACATTTACAATGTGATACAAATAAAACAAACCATACAATTATTATTATTATTTTTTTAAAACTTTGTTTATTTGGTTTTTAACAAGAATTGCATAGCCGTACATTTACAATGTGATACAAATAAAACAAACCATACAATTCCCTTGAGTTATAAAAACAAAACAAAAAACACAACAAAACGACCTCCAATCACTCTCAGGCAATAAGAAAAAGTCATAAGAAAAATATTACACACACACAAAAAAAGTTTTGAAATAGATAAAAATTAAGATGGATTCTGCTACACCTAAAAAAGATATTTGCTTTTCTAAGATGTTGTTTGGATGGGAGATATTGAAAATGATCGTCTTTATTCACACGCGTCTTCACTTTCCTGACAATATCTAAACAGACATTCGACCACAGGGACAATTAACATTTGCAGAGTGGAACATTCTTAAAGGCAAAGCTCATCCAAGACATTTGCAAGATGGAGGAACTGACATTTGCACTGAAACTGGAGCAGGACAGATTTGAAAGATCCTGGAGCCCATGGCAAACTTTCCCTTATTACTCCAGATCTGAAAACAAATGAAAATGAGGTGACACCTACTGTTCTTTAGCTACTCTGTTCGATGTATACTGTTTTTACAGTTCAGGAAAGTTTTTATGACGTGGTACCTGTTTGTTCATTCGTTTTTCTCCCCGTTCCTCTGAGAGGGTCTGGGGCGGAAAAATAAAAAAATATTAATAAAAAAAAAAAAAAAAAAAAAAGGCAAAGCTCAGGATCGTGAATAATGCAGTTGTGAGAATTTCCTGGCGAGGTTTAGAGGAACGGGATGATTCTGATTCTTCCCTTCCAGCCTGAGTCTGGTTCTGGGTTAAAATCCACCTGCCAGGACTCTTCCTCATTAATCAGAAACGTCCTGAGAGTTTAGTCTGCTTCACAAAAGCCCGAAAGTCTCTCACAGCCGTTTAATCTTTTATCTGTGATGTTTTAGTGTGTAATTTGTTCTGTTGTGTACAGTCACTGTGTTTCGTGTAAAAGCCTAACTGGGGACAGGCGTTGAGAATTAGCCTTATAGCTAAAATGTTGTAATGTGTGACATGTTTCATGAAACATACTTGTCCCTATCAAATAAATAAATAAATAAATAAATAAATAATGAGGAGCTGGAGATGGACTCTGTCTCGAATGGGAACAGACCCACGTCCCCCGTTTGCCAAGAAACAACCTCCAAAAATAATCTCCACAGATAATTAAATCAACTCTTCAAACATGTGAGGCACAAGAAACATAAAACATCTGGAGCTGGGATTGTTCGAAAGGTAAAAACCAACGTTTAAAGACGATTTTCCAAGTCAGAAATGTTCTTTACTGATATCAAACTGGTTCATTCTTGCTGGTTATAAGTCAAACAGTTCGAATAATAATCAGGCTTATACAGTGGGGGAAATAAGTATTTGACCCCTTGCTGATTTTGCAGGTGTGCCCACTTACAAAGAATGCTTATTTTTCCTCATCAGATGGTTATCAATTTTTATAAATTCATATGATATGATTTTGTGGAATTTTCTTTGGGATTCTGTCTTTCACTGTTAGAATGTACATATGATTAAAGTTATAGATCGTTGCATTCTTTGTAAGTGGGCAAACCTGCAAAATCAGCAAGGGGTCAAATACTTATTTCCACCACTGTAAATCAACTCTTGTATCGTTTTTAAACATGCGAGGTACAAGAAACATAAAACATCTGGATCTGGGTTTGTTCGAAAGGTAAAAAACGACGTTTAAAGACGATATTTGAAGTCAGAAATGTTCTTTACTGATATCAAACCGGTTAATTCTTGCTTGTTATAAGTCAAACAGTTCGAATAATAATAATAAACAGCCCCCACTCAGGCTCATAGCTTTCTATCTTCATTTCTCATCATTTTCGACCCATTTAGTTGAACTCCTCTTTGGTTTTTGAACACGCAACAGCCCCTGAGATTGTGTTGGCCCAAAGTAAACAGTAAATCTTAAGTGGACACAACGGACTAAATAACACCGAGGACGGTCCGCATAATTGTGGAATTTTTGTGTTTTTTCGAGCGTATTTTAAAGACCAAAACTCTGAGTTCATGCTGTTATAATGACTCCCTCGACTCCATCCATGTTTTATTCCCTCCTCTGGGTGAGTGAAAATCTCTTTTTGTGCAACACATCACAAACAGTTGATCGTAATATACTTCTATCTATAGCCGTTTTTCTGCCTAATAAAAAAACAAAGGCCGTATATTGAGGTTAGGACCACACCTACCCACCGAAGGGATTCCTCTTCCAGATGTTTGTCGGGTTCCACACGGTTCCTGGTGGACTTCAATCCATCAGAGGAAAAAACACACTGAGAAAAAACACACAAAACACACAGAAACAAACCCGTAAACATCTGGTCTGAGTTTAGAGGCCAGATGGACGAAGAGAATAAAAAGGTTTGGTCCAGTTTAGATAGATAGATAGATAGATAGATAGATAGATAGATAGATAGATAGATAGATAGATAGATAGATAGAATTCAATACTAAGATACTCCAATAATACACAGGTTTATGTATTAAATAATTTTTCCTGTGGGATTATTAAAGTATTTCTGATTCCTGTTTTTATTGCAAACATAGATAGATAGATAGATAGATAGATAGATAGATAGATAGATAGATAGATAGATAGATAGATAGATAGATAGATAGATAGATAGATAGATCAAATTCAATACTAAGATACCCCAATAATACACGGGTTTATGTATTCTGTATATTTGATATTATGTATATCTGATTCCTGTTTTTATTGCAAACATTGACAGATAGATAGATAGATAGATAGATAGATAGATAGATAGATAGATAGATACTTTATTGATTCCAAGGGGGAAATTTAAGGTCCCAGCAGTTTAAGACATTACACACTAAATAGTACTAAACACTAAGTACTAAAAAGCACTAGAATACTAAATACTGATTAAATTAGAACACTTGCCAGATGGACTATGCAGAGAGACTATGATGGAGGTCTGAGGAACATCTGGGAACATCTGGGAGGGGCCGAGGTCTCTCTGAGGTTTTTTAGTTGTGAAATAAAGCTGTGAGATTAAAACGGTCTGCTTTTGTTCAGGACCAGGGCGAGTCCGTCCACCTTAGAGTGACGGACTCTCATCTGAAAGGCATGTGTGAGTGAATCATGGGAAAAAAAACAGACTCTGGTCATCACGAGTTTGAGAAACTGTGAGGATATCGGACAGATGTTCCAGAAGTAATGTGATTCTAATATTAATATTAAAGATCTTTCTCACACTCCGGGGCTTCTGCAGCCTAATATCCAATTATTCTGACCAAAAATAAAGATGTGTAAGTAAATACCTGTTGAATTCATACACAAGTTTAAAACTGAAGCAACTTTTATTTTAGGATACAGTAAAAAATGTTAGAGGACTTGGAGCTCTAACAAAATAAAAGCAAAATCATATTTAACTTAATACAAATAATATATTGAAATGACAAAATAACTTAGGGTTCAATTGAACTTACCTTCAAAATTAAGATCCCCCCTCAGTCTTGGGAACAATGGTGTCTTCCAAGGTTTCCTCCTCCAGATGGATTATAATTGGTAAAAGCTTTGCTCAAACCCCTGTTGTACACATTCAGATATACCTGATAACAGCCAGTAGAAGACTACACCAACATATAGTTTTGACTTATTGCACGCTAATTTGATCAAAATAATTTCTGTTTTTTTTCTTCACATGTTGTTGAGGGACCAAAGAAAGACTTCAGACTAAAAAAAATCCAATATTCTTCCTATTTTTCTTGGATCAGGCTTTAAAGGGTTAAAGCTGTTTTGGGGGTGCTATTAATGCTATTTTTGGCCTTTAAAGCTGTTTTTTAGGGCTTTTAAAAAATGTTTGGGGGCCTTTTAAAGCTGTTTTTGGGGCTTTTAACGCCATTTTTGTTGTTCATATGTTGTTGAGGGGCCAAAGAAAGACTTCAGACTAAAAAAATCCAATATTCTTCCTATTTTTCTTGGATCAGGCTTTAAAGGGTTAATGGTGGTAGTTTAGGGTTAGAAGTGTTTTTTTATTTATGGTTATTGTCCAGGACTCTGTATCCCCCCCTTTTCTCTCCTTCATGTCCATCTGTCCTCTGCCCAGTTTTCCTCTTTAGCAAAAAGTAGAATAAAAACTCACCTCTGGAGCTTGACAAGACACGACAATTAACCCTGTAATGCCAAATGTGTCATAATTGATACGTACGGTTTCTGAAATGTTTTGCGTCTGACTCCTTTTGCTTAATTTAATGGTAAAACCTTTGCTCAAAATCCTATTGTACACAATCAGATACACCTTATAACAGGGGGCAGAAGACTACACAAAAAATAATCTGGATTTATCGCATAGTAATAAACTATTAATATTAAAAATGTATTTCAGTTTTTTTCTTTTTACACGTTTTGTTAAAAGGCCAAATAAAGACTTCAAAACAACAAAAAAGTAATTTTCTGTTTTGTTTTATTCTTGGATCAGGCTTTAAAGGGTTAAAGTAATAAATGACCGACTTTCTTCTTTCTTGAATCTCTTCAGATCTTTGGTGCTGATGATGTGATCTGCACACGGATCTACAAACGGGAATAAAAACGGAAAAAAACAACCTGCCGGAGTCCAGAGGAACTAACTTAGCCTCTCCATTTACCCGTTTCCACTCTATAACTCACAACTTAAACTAGACTTATTACTTTTTTGTACAAAGACATTTCTGTTTAGCACTCCAGTGCATTCGATGCAGTTATGGTTTTTATTACATTTTATTGTTTTATGTAGTTATGGTTTTTATTTCATGTAGTTATGGTTTTTATTACATTTTGTTGTTTTATCTTGATGTATAATTGTGCACTTCTGTGAAGCACCTTGTGACCTTTGATGTCTGTGAAAGGTGCTATAAAAATAAACTTTACTTACTTACTTACTTACTTACTTACTTAAAAACAGCCCCAGTGCAACAACGTCCCCCAGTGGAGAACTTTTTTAAACTTCATATCTCAGAATCGAAATGTTGAAAGACCAAGAAAAAGAAGAAAGCACTCGGATGAATTTCTGTCTACTCAAAGAATGTTTTTAATGCCAAACAACATACTAACACTCATGTACAACATTGTAAAAGTCAAGAGAAGTGACACAATAAACAAGGTACAAACGATGTGTGTATGTACAGTCAGCTCCGCCCACTTCCTGTGATATTCTACAATAAAACACAGTAAATATAAAAATAAAAACCCGAGTATTAAACTGTTCTAAAGATTGTCTGCAGCCGGTTGCGCTGCCTTCAGGAAAACAGACCTTTTTTTTTTTTTAAACATACTGATATTTCTGCTATCGTCACTGTAATAATCAATGTTAAAGTTAATTAGTGAACTCAGTGTCTGAGTTTGTGTCCTTTTGTTTTTACTTTTATTTTAATGACCAACTCGCAGTCTAGTTTTAGAGCGATGGATCTCTGCCTTCCATCTAATCCTAAATACAATATAAAAAAATGTCCAATTCCAAATTTATAAAACTGCAAAAAAGAAAAGGCAACAAAAAAAACAAAACAATCTGTTTTCATACAACATTCACGTGTATTTCAAGAAGAAATACGAACCCACAGACTGAAGAAATTATTGCTCTTTCCTTTTCCCCCTCCAATTTAAAATCCTTAAACTGTACATCTGCGTTTGTCTCAACGCAGGCCGCTGAAAATGAAAACGTCTGGTGTGGAGAGGGGATACTTTTAAGACTTCAGGACTTAAAAAAAACAGGCGGTGTGCTTTACTCTCAGAGGAGAAACTGCTGAGCTACATTCAACCATCTCCAAACGGCCTGTGTGCTGATGTCTGAGGGTGGAAATGCACAGAAAGGGATCCAATCACGTGGAAAAACCCGACACTTTCCTACTAAACAAAGACTTGAATGGCGACACGTTGAACGGAGCATAAATAAAAAACAAAAGGGTGTCTAAATAACTTCCTTTGGTTAAAAAAAAAAAAAAGAAGAAAACAAGTTAAAAGTCGGCCTTCACTTCATAAAATTCTCTGCAATCTCAACGTTTGACATACGTTTGAACATACGCTACAGCTCAATAACACCCGATAAAGAAAGAAGAATCTAGATATTAACAACCTATGTACAAAGGGTTTGGGTATTTATAAATTATTGGACTCGACAAACAAAGTTGGCATAGCACTAACGATGGGCTTCTACCAAGCAGTTGCCAAAGATGCTGAATACATTTTCATATATCTATAGAGCCAGTTTGCTCCTTTACCACCGACAGGAAACTCAAAGGCTGTACAAGTTTTAGAGCTGGAAGCCACATTATCCACGAATCCATCACGAGTCCCACCTGTGTGAGGCTAACAGGTGCGTTTGTTACTTACAGAGAAAAGCTGAGGTCGTTTTTGTTTTCATCTTCAGTCCCAAAAAACAACAACAACAACAACAAACGGTTTTCCTCCTCGAAACGCCCAGTTTTAGTTTAAAATAACTGAACCAGGCCTTTCTCGGTTAAACCAAATGGTACTCACACGTTTCCATTTGGATGTTTTCCCCTAATCTGGTGGTTACAATGCTTGAAAACTTCCCGGTTTGTGGCAGAAGTTGTGGAGAGATCAGTTCCTGAATCACGCGTTTCCATTTGGATGTTTTCCCCCAAAACTTCCTGGTTTGTGGCAGAAGTTGTGGAGAGATCAGTTCCTGAATCGCGCGTTTCCATTTGGATGTTTTCCCCTAAACTGGTGGTTACGATGCTTGAAAACTTCCCGGTTTGTGGCAGAAGTTGTAGAGGAATCAGTTCCTGAATCACGCATTTCTGTCTGATTTTTCTCCAAAACCTCCCAGTTTGTGGCAGAAGTTGTAGAGAAATCAGTTCCTGATTCACGCGTTTCCGTTTGGATTTTTTCCTCCAAAACTTCCCAGTTTGTGGCAGAAGTTGTGGAGAGATCAGTTCCTGAATCACCTTGGCGGTAAAAACCAAACCATCCCTCCTCTCTGAATCTCGGGTGAAAGACTTTGGCAACTGAAACCAGTGAGGGGGCGCTTGTTTCGGGGTCCTGGCCCCCGGTCGGTGGGGGGGGGTGGGTACTACAGGGGCCGGTACTGGACGCGGTACCTGTTGACGCGGAGGTGGTGCAGCTCCTCGGGGCAGCAGCGGGTGGAGCAGGACAAAAGCCCCTCCGGCTCCGCGCCCATCAGCCAGCGCCGGCTGGCCGCCGCCATCTCCGCGCTCACGTGTTCCCGCGCCCAAACGTCCAGCCAGCGCTGGAAACGCCCGTGCAGACGCCGGTGCACCTGCGGGTGGGACTGGAGGAGACAGGGAGGGGGGGGAGGGGGGAGGGTGAGTTTAGGTATTTATTTAACTCATTGACTGGCAGCCATTTTCAGAACAGAGAGTCGCTCACTGCCAGAGTTTTTTGAGCATTTTGACTGATTTTTCAAGAGCCACAGAATAGTTTGTGCTATGACTATGTAAACACCGAACACACCAAAAGAAAGAGTAGACTCTCTTCTTTCATCAGGAAAAAAGATTTTGTTTCTACCTCATTCCGTTCTTCTTCGACGTGCGTCTCACCGGCGCCATTTCTCTCATAGCGAACTATTGCGTTTGTTTTTATTTGCTTACAATCTATACTAATCTCCCATCAAAAGTGGCACTGCCCCCTGGAGGGTAAATTTGTTACTACATACTCTGTCTAGAAGCCGATATTTACGGGAAAACTTTCGCCGATCGTCCCCCAAGCCACTCGCATTGAAAAACATAAAAGTTAATCAGGACAGTGCTCATTAATGAACAATCTTATACAAATTGTAAATGAGCCAGATTATAGCATAGTTGCTCATTTACATCTGTCGTCCTGAGGCAGGAAGATAAAACAATACAAGATCACAAAATACAAAATCAAAATATGCTCTAATTAAATGAGACATTTTATACCCTATTTCAACAAGTTAAGCTAGTTCCCTGGTGTCCTAATGTAATGTCTTTGGTCAGAATCCCATAAGGATGAAGCCCAATAGCAGTTCAGTCACCCTGCCTAACCCTAACCCTAACCCTAACCCTAACCCTAACCCAAAACAGCCCCGTTCAGAGCGCTCGCTTTGGAGTGCCTGTCTCTTTAAATGCAAATGAGACACAGGCAATCCACCCACTTCTTCAGGGAGGTGTGCCCACGTCGGCACGCTAACGCTACCATGCTAACGCTACCATGCTAACGCTACCATGCTAAAGCTACCATGCTAACGCTACCACGCTAACGCTACCATGCTAACGCTACCATGCTAACGCTCACGCTACCAGGACGTCTCCACAGATAGGGGAGTGAGCTGAGGGGGGGGGGCAACATGCAGGTGAAAGGCTGGAATATTATAATGAGCTAGATAATATATAATAATATTAATATTATAATAATAATAATATTATAATGAGCTAGAGCTAATGACGTCAGAAACTACCCACTCCTGAAACCTCCTGATTTATCTCCTGGATTCAGACTGAGGCGGCCCACAAAAACATGACCCACTCATTTTTTTTCACACTTTTCCTGCTGATAGGCCCTCCACAGTCCCAAATGTACACAATCAAACGATTAAAAACTTGATTTTGCATAATATGTCCCCTTTAAAAGTCCCATATCAGTTTTTCACAGTTTTACTTGGTTGTCGTCTTCTGGCTCCGTTTTTGACTGAATTACAAACGTGTGGTTAGCCGTGTGCTCACCTGATGGGCTCTGGTGAGGGCCGTGTGTCTGTACATGTAGTCCTCGGACTTGCAGACGTAAACCATCTTGTAGGAGTTCAGCTTGAACATGCACTCCATCTTCTGCGGGCTGTTTCCGTCCCGCGCCGGGTCCGAGGAGCCCTTGCTGATCCGGTCCTGCTGCAGCTGCTCCCAGCCCCTCTGGCACTTTCTTATCCGTCTCAAATTCCTGAAAGCCCAAAAGAAATTCAAAAACTCTTCAGTTCGCGACCCCAGATATAAAGAGAAGACACCTCAATTTACACAGAAAAAATAAATAAAAGGAGTGCGCACCACATTTGAAAGGAAAGGTTTAACTAGTTTAACTTTACCATTTAGATGGCTTTTTGACACTATGCAACTTTAAGGCATTTGGTCAGTCACAAAAAAAAGGACAACAGGCATAACTTCAGAACTTTATAGTCAAGTTTGAGATAACTGTCCCTTTAAATGATTAATTTGAAACCCATGCATTTAAACTCACCAAGGAACAGGGATAATTGTTAGGGTGTCAAATCATTCATGGTATATGTAGATCTATAAGAGCAGCAGAGGCAGCCGTTGGAATATTTTCTAAATAATTGGCAAATTATTTTCCGACTGATCCCGATTTCTGTGCAGGTTATAACACAAATGCAATCATTCACCCCACCTGAATGAAAGTTTTAAATGTGTACTTACCACGGAGGGGTACAGGTGAGCGAGGACTGAAGCCATGAAGCTTTTTTGTTTGTTTGTTTGTTTTGTTTCATTCAGGGCTCCACTTAAAAGACATGGCAGTGAGGCCAATTTCAAGTTAAAGCTGTTGAAGAGAACATTTTCTACCAGGCCCGGGTACCAATTCGAAAAAACGTGAGCTTGGACGTGC